AACTATGTCTCAGCCTTCACCGAGGGAGCTTTTAGAGGCATTAAACTCCTCAGATGGTTCCCATCACCACCACTGCGAACAATTCTGACTCAGCAAGTTTCTCTAGAACGGAGTTTCACATCAAACCGCTCTGAATGAGTTTGTTGACATGTCAAACGTTTAATTATGCAGTGATTTTGAAAAGTTAATCCTCATCTTTGTCACCATAAATTATGTGAAATAAGGTTATGTTCTGATACTAATACTGAATAACAGACCTAACATCTTGAAGTATTCTAATCAGTGTAATGAATTTGTTTTGCTTTCTTTCTAAAACAGAGTCATAGATTAACTAGTTAGTGTATTCAGAGAGAAAGAGACAGACTGGATTAGAGTTGGCGATATAGCAAAAATATGATACCTCAAAAAGTTGGTGCGATACACAGTGTTATGATATTTTTTTCCTGACATCTGATAAGTTAGAACAGACAAGGTAGTTAAAAACAAGAAATGCATTTATTTATATTCAACATTTTTATGTCTTGTGCTGCATTAAATCCAAATAAACAGGATTAATTATGTTCTATTTGTAATCAAACATACAGTTGGGAAGTACTAACGACATCCAGAATATGTTCAGAAAAGGGATTTGCCAGATATTGCAACATAATTTATCACAGAAATGCTAAATATTGTCACATTGCCCATCTCTAGGCTGGACATAGAAATGTTTAAGTGAATTCCACCAATTTATTAAAGTCGTGCCGTTCTGGAGAAACTTGCCGAGTCAGAATCACTCACAGCGGTGATGATGGGAACCAGACGTCTGAAGCTTTTAGTGCCTCTGAAAGCTGCCTCACAGAAAGCTATTAGACAAAGTGGTTATAGATGCCTGCCTGATTCCTGAGACATTGTTTTAAGGTAGTATTGAGTTTTCTGCCTAAAAGATTTTTTACAATCAGCTCACAGTGGAGAGGCTCATACAAAGCAAAGTAATACTCAGATTTTTTATTTCCATATTTATCACTATTTGAGAATTATCAACATTACATAAAAACGTAGACACATGAAGGTTTACTGGTCCTTTTGCATATTAAATACAATATAGTGGGTATATTTGAATTGTAGATATCACAATTTCTGGTTTCTGCCACTGAAAAATTGGTGGAATTCCCCTTTAATTTACAACCTTTGTGTTAATAGTGATTATTTTAAATTTCTAACACACAATGTTCCAGAGTAAGAAGAAGAACAGTAAAAATATTTACTGTTACATAAAATTGACTGACCAAAATGTGTTTTTGTGAGGTCACAAAAACACGTTTTTTCCACCAGTTTGAAACATTTCTGCTTTTTAATTTAGGAAAAAAAATAATGTAGTTCTCAAAAAAGTGTCTTCATCTTACATTTTTCATGTTTTATTTTTGTTTAGGCTTAAGTACCAAAACTTTCCCAAAACCACTTTATCTTTTCGAATTAAACAGGCTGTTTTAGTGACTGTGCCTTTACGACTGAAATATGTTAATGATCTCTGTTCTCATTGGCTGTTCTGTACTGTGCAGTTTAGACTGAAACACTACTTAAGAGATCAGTGTGAATGGGGGGGGAGAAACTGCTGAAGGCTGAATAGGTGGATATATGCAAACGTGGTTATTTTTGCAAACATACAAAAAACATTTAATTCAAATCAGACTGTTTTTGTAGCTTGCCTTCCATATATGGACTGGGCAGTGAATGGTATGTTTACACTTTCACAGTGTTTGCATATTACATCAAATTGTAGATTGACACAAGTGTGTCTGACGAAAAAAATAAAATATAGAAAATAAAATGAGAAAAGTGTAGGACGTGGCCCCTTTAACCCTCATATGTCAGCATGTTTTAAAGCTCAATTAAACTTAAATCCAGCCAGAAGTCTTCACAGTTGGTTAGTAGCTGGGCGTCTCTGGCTAAGTAGTCTAATGTACCCTTATTTGGATGCTGAAGTCAGGTGAGGTAAACATGACGAATCCAGCTGACCAGATCGTTATCAACGATCAGACTGTGACTGAGACTGAAATTTGCCTGTGTGGGCTGTGAGATGCTTTTCTGAATATAGTATGTTCTTTTTGCAGTATTACGTGTGCGAAGTGTTTCAAGACTGCAAAACAGAAATGCAGAGTTATGAACCAAATTTGGTCTCTTTGTTTTCCTGATTTCTTGTTTTATTTGCATTGGGCATGTAAACAGTGACAAAGCTGTAGCCTAACATGATGTATACCGTGGCAAACCAACCCTTTTTGTCTACGATCTGGCTAACTGCCCATCATTTAAATAGAAAACCAGTTTGGGATGTCTTACATTAATGTGTGGTAATTGTTGTGAAATTCCTGCTTCAGCGTGCCAGAAGAGTTAGATTGGTTCTTTAGTGATGTGAACCTGTTTACATATTTAGAATTGTTGTGATGGTCAAGCTGTGTTATATTTTACTGCGCTTTGAGAGTTTTTGCTCTCGTCTGAAGGTGGCGGGGGGGGTCTGTCTTATTTTTGACTGACTATATTGGTAGTTTTATTGAGCGTTATTACTTTAGCAAGGAAGAGTGTTGTTTTGGACAGTTTTTGGCAACGCTTCTGTTTTTATTTATTATTATATTTATTGTTATTTTACATATCGCTGTTGTCAGAAGAAAACCTCACATCTCCGTTTTTGCCATCTTTCAGATTTTGACATAATTTGAAAATACCTGCTGCTCTTTACATTTTGTGTAAATTTCATGATGAGCGGATCAAAAGAAACGGCCCAAACTGACTTGGAAAAAACTCTGGTTCCATTGACTTACATTAAAAGTAAAGTACATTTTTTCCTTCTTCTGTAAAGTTACTATTTTGGAGATACAACAGCGATATAGTCGATGAAGTTGAATTTCATCAGTGCAATTTTTTTCCTGCTTGCTGTGTAAGGTATTGTCAGAATTTTTAGTTTTGCATAGTTACCCCAAGTCTTCAGTGATATCTAGCTAATTTCAAAAGAGGGAATCCAGAGCAACAGAGGTGCACAGATGTCTTTTCAATTTTGGATTCTACTGCTGAATGTAAGACCCAATCCCATTTCTTATTTTTACCCCTACCCCTTGTTTTCGAGTGTCACCTTGCCACGTGGAACTGAGTTACAAGGGGTAGTGGTTAAAATCTTCCCTATGAAATGGGACCCTGAAATAAAAAGAGCATTACTTCATTAACAGCTACTAGCGCTGCTCTGTAGGCGACCCTGCCAGTCTGCAGTGACAGCAGAGGAGGGTAAAGTTCAGCTCCTCACTGCTGGGCTTTAGTTACATTTAGGGAATCCTATGCCTTCAAAGGGGGGGATTAGACAGTTATTTATTGACGCCCTCCCGTAAATCTTTGGTGGTATGAAGCTGAAGTCAGCTATTCGCCAGCTTCTCGTTCGAATTTTCCCGTTCCATCTTAAATGGTGCAACAGTTCTGATGCCTGAGGCGTCAGAATGTAACCGCTGTACCGTTTAAGGTGGAACGGGAAGTTTAGCTACCTAGCTACCATCAACATGCTACTAGCGATTTTTATGCTTGTTATGAAGAAAAGGACCAAAATACATTGGAATGACATTTAACTAAGATAATTCAGTGGTTATCATACATTTTAATAAATTTTAAACCTGTTTGGAGGCCCATGTAGCCCTAACACTTCGCCCCACCCCTCTATCTCGACAGAAATCAGAACACTCTACCCCATAGACATGATTGTGCAAAATGGAGTGGTACTGCTATGTGGTAGAGGCAAAGGATGAAATTGGGCCCAAGTCTTGGGATTTAGTAGTATTCAGTATGAAGGAGTGGGGTTTGCCACAACTTATGCATGTAATTGGGATTGTGGCATTAGAGAATTTCTCTATTCTCAAAGGCCGTGTTTTCATGAGCCTGAAACGACACAGTGACGCTGGAATTCTGATTAATTTAAGGAAATAATTTCTTGAGTACTTGATTTCCTTCCACACCCGTGTAAAGTCAAGTGCATGAGTCAATAATTGGGGCCAAAAAAAGACATCCATGGGAATAGTTCATGATTGTTACAGAGGTTATGAGGTAATTTTTAATTCGTTTTAGACGCCTACGCAAGTAAGTGTGTTTGTAAGTGACTTTTTGTCATGTGGTTGTTAATACATTTCTTCCACAGATATATGAGCAAGTGTCTTTGGAAGAACCCTTTCATAATGCAAAGAACCGTTTAATCATCAAAGGGTTCTTTGAGGGTTCATGGTTCTATTTAAGACCATTTTTTCTATGGTTGAAGAATCATAAATTTTTTTTAAGAGTGTAATATAATTCATTCTGCTCTTTTGCATTGTTTTGATGGGTGTTTTTTTTTTTGTCTGTTTATGTTTGCACGTTAGCCTCCCTGGTGATCTTAGGAGCTCTTTTTAAAGAGCCCAGACTTGGACAGCTCATGACTTCAGACCAGGAAGGGAAAGATATAGCTGAGCCGCAGGTGCAGCCGTCACAGGAAGTGAGGAAAAAAGAAATTCCCCTTGTGGTAAAGTATAAGCTTTGTACTGTCAGATTTGTATAATTTGTTGTGGATTTTGCGCTCTGTCTCTGAAACAAAACAATTTTAAAAGACAAAGTTTTTTTTTTTCTGGAGCTAAATTGGCCTAAATACATGTTCTAGTATTATATTATAGTATTTTCCTGTTTTTTAGTTTGTTTTTTTTGTTTTTAATTAAATTGCAATTTATAGCCAGTACAAGTTTACAAGTATTTCCATACCCAGGTTATCAGTGTATGTCTATACAGAGCTGATCCCATTCGTGCAACCAAAACACCAATCTCAAGATTGGATTGGAGTTTCAGGAGTTTGTGTTTGAGTGACAAGGCCATGTGAGTCACTTGTACAAATTTAAATGTGCTATTTTGAGTATAGGGAGGGGGTAGGTGGCCATATTGCGCCTCCCTTTCTCTCTCCCTCTTGCCCCTCTCTCTCGGTTAACCTCCTTGAGAGTAACTCCACAAGGTTTGTTTGCCGATGTACTAGAAGAGTTTTTATGTTATAGTTTAATATGGGGTGTTGCTTTAGTAAAGAGTTGAATCCTAATCTGGTCACCGAAAGAACAAGCCTTCTTCAAACATCAGTGACTGACAGCTGCTCTGCTAAAGACGTCAAACAGTGTGCCTGCTCTGTGGCTGAACTGGCCGAAGAGAGGCTTCCTGAATATGGAGAGACGAATGTAGCCTTGGATACCAGAAGCAATTGTTCCTCAACAAACCTGTCAGTGAAACTCAGTTCCATTGATAGGAGAGGCAGCAGCGCGCAGGACGGGATGGTACTTTGGAACGAGCCTAACGCCGACCCTCCTCTTTGTCAAGCTTTGGAACAGGATGGACACGCTAAGGAAGTTTCAAAAGGTTCGCACAGAGACAGTGGGGACAATGGTCTTGCCTTTCCACAGATTACAGAGCGAGCTGTTTTGACCTCTGTAAAGAAGAAAATAGCTGAAAATGCGGTGAAACGAGCAAACTGGTTTTGTGACGTTAGATCGTCTCAGTGTGCAGATGTAACGGGAAAAAGCTGGAAAAGCCATTGCGAGGACACACCTATTGCAGCCACAGTCGTTCCAAACGGTCACTGTATCAGAGCAGCGTGCACTTCAGGCAGCCTGGGCTCGGAGGAGCATGCACAGGTGCAAAGCACTGTTAGGGAGAAGTCGGACGACAGAGCGATGGGAGCGACCACATGTCCACGTGATAAAGGGAGAGGGAGTCGTAGGGAGGTTTGTCATGTAGATGAGAATAATTCTGATTTGGTGACCTCAGATCACCACTTCAAAAGAAGGACCCAAAGCTTCTACAGCATTTGCTCAATCGATGCCGATGATCTGGAGGGTGAGTGTGAACTGCCATCCCTGACACAACCTGTGGCGTTCGATCAGGCGGATGTATTAGCTGAAACTGAAGCAGTGCTGCTTAATAACTCCTCACTCCTGAATAATGCATGCAGAATATCTCACTCAGAACCTTCAAATGGGGACCAATGCTTTTGAAAGCCAAATGATCAAAGTATCACAAGAAGAGGAAATGTGTTCTGAATGTCTCCCAGCAAGAACTTTGTCTGTAAACAAGGCTAACGCACTTCCTGACCTCCTTGGGACATTTCTAGGGTCGGCACTGTCCGAAAAGCATGCTCCTGTTCCTCTCGAAGACAAAAAGATAGAACAGGTTGGCAGCACATGTGAAAAGGATGGGCCTGAATCAAGAAAAATGCCATTTGTCAGTGCTTCAGGTGATGCTACTGATGAAACGACCCCTGATTTGCTTGAAAGAAACAAACGGTCGTTCTCTCTGAACACAGACACAGAACTGCTGCATACGTCTAAACCGAAAGTGTCGGGAGTGGCTTGTGAAGTATGCCCTTTGGAAGCACCCAGCCTGGAAGCACCCAGCCAGGAACCACAAAGTGTTCCCTCAGAGATCGAGTCTGGAAGAAAACTAGATGCTGACGGAAATGATTTAAGATATACTGACTCTAGTGAAGCAGTGAAAGTAAACTTAGAATTACAGAGAGATCATGATTCTGGGATTTGTGCCATGCTAACAGCCCATTATCCTATTCCTTCGCTTAACAACACAGGAGAAAGCCCCTCAGAAGTGATAAAATCTGGTCAGTGTTCATCCAATGCTACCTCTTGTGAGAAACCTCACAAAGAAACGGTGCATGATTCATTAAGCTTTAAACCCTCCGATATGCCGGAGACCTTCAGGGATGCACCATCATCTTTCAAAATTTCTTTGGTAGAAAACGAGAATGATATTCAAAAGCTTATGTCAGGGGACAACTCTCAAGAAGCTAACACACTAAATCTGAACTCTGTTAAAGCAGACAACCTGTCAAACTCATGTGTAGGCTCTTTAAGTACTGATTTCGAGAAAAAAGTAGCAGCCACGGAAGTGGAGCTCATATCCGGTGAGATTAACACATTCCAGAACTTGCAGTTAGTCACACCTAACATCTATAGGGGAAATACTGATTTGCTTCAGACAGATATTACTTTGCAAGCAGGGGTAGTAGACTGCTCTGAAAATAATGTAGTTCCCCAACTGACTCATGATGATAGAGAAGAGAAAAGAGAAATTAACCTTGGCATGGAGGACATCACTGCTGTCATTTCTTCCACTGACCTTTCAACGGTGTCAAAATCTGCTTCTGTTGATGAAGAAGGGCATGGAGAAAATATTGAAAATTCAGTCATACACATGCCATTTCTGCCACCTACTATCACAAATATAAACTCTACTGGTCATTTGCTTAAAGGTGTTGGTCCTAATCTAAGTTCAGTGAATTGGGTTGACAACCCATGTAACTCACTGAATTGGGAACAGGCCGAGCAAGAGATGCCAAGCTCAGCTCTTGCGACTGCAGTTGTTTCAAGTAATGCTTATGTTGCATCTAATGTTGGCTGCTCTGTAGATGTGAGCCGCCTGACGCATCCTCCACAAAACCATTCAACTGTTGGAGAGTTTTGCAATGATGAGAGCCTAAAACAAATGGAGACCACATTATCTGCGTCAACCCAGGAATATGTTAACACCAAAGGGAAAGAGGAATCTGACTTAAAAGAGAACGAGAAGATCCCAGCTGTCTCGGAGTGCTTTAGTGAGGATGAACAGAAAGGACTGGTTCAAATTTCTTTAAGCACTGTTGATGTCAAAACAGGACACGAAATGGAACTACAGCAAGCCTCTGACTTACCACAGTTCCAACATTATCTTAACCTTGGGGATATTGTTGATGACCAGGAGATCCATTTCTGTTTCGGAGACAGCAAGGAAAATGCAGACCTTAACAGACAGCGTAGCTTGCCTACAAGCTTGCCTTCTCTGGGCGAGGAGTCTGAGACCTCTGACAGTGCCACATTGTCTGAAAACAGTATGCTGAGGAAGAGTGCTTGCATTCCCTCAGGCCCTCACTTGGGGCAGGCTGCCAGTGATATGCAAAGTGCTTCAGTTGGGTCCAATCAGGAGCCAGAATCAAAGCCTAGAGATCCACAGGGAATGTGCATGACTGGCACTGGAGGGGAAGGAACAGTGGTTGACTACCGCATTCCTCTTGTGAGTACCATAAGACCACTGTTTGAAATTGGAGAACCATCGTGTGCCTTACAAGGGCATGGCTGCACTAGTGCATCCATGGAGTACTTTGCAACAAGCAGGCTTCAGGGATACCAACTTGAATCGTGCAACCCTTCCAGTCATGGGTTTGGAGCTGCTGAAATGCGTCTGTCCCAGTTCAGTGAAGTTACTGAGGAAGTTGAAACCACATGCCTTAACAAAGCTATTCCACTACCTGTTGAACCCGGCCAGGTGGACGTTCGGGCCGGGACTCCCTCATATGAGATACATTTCCCCAAAGCCGCTGTCCCTGAGGAGATTGAGAACTTGGAAAATAAGACTTGCACAAGTGAATCAGAAGGAGACCAAAGTGTGCTAAACATGGTTTCTGACCTTCTTGGAAAGCCTGAGGCGAGTGAGGATGAAGATTCTAATCATTACCTCTCGTTGTGGCCGGGAAAGCCTGAAGCACTGTTCCTTGATGCACAGATGCAACGCTATGACCTGGAGTCAGCATGGCATGCTCATCTCTCTGAAGTAGAAGGGATGGAAGGAGATACACAAAAGGGTAATAAAGCTGATCCCAGTATCAACGAAGAGGGTGTCCAGGCCTTCATAACCACCTACCCTTACAGCCTGTTAGTGTCTGATGGCTCCTGTGTATGGGACTGGCAAAATGCTTACAGTGAACTTGTAAGTGATCTTTGATGGTGTATATCAGATTTTGTTATTGGTTCATCTGGTCTGTGGAACTAAATGTTTAGACACAGTATAGGACTTCAGGCTGCTCAGTTATTGAATATGCTTGTTTTCTGGTTGGTTTAAGCCTTAACTATCTAACATCCATGTTTTTATTATATTTTAGGAAGCCACCAAGGTTTCTGATCTCAATCCAAATGCAAAGGCATGGGGCAGTTATATGACTAATCAGGAAGCCCCAGGACTGGCCTACACGCGCTCTCTCCAGTCATGGGTAAAAGATGCCAGTGACCCAACAAATACCGTCTCAGGAGGTAAATCTTCAGCAATATTGTACATACAAAACATTTGTAATTTCTAATGTTCACAAATCTATGCCATTCACTCAGTGTTGGATCCAAATTGATGACCTTTCATTAAGTTTTTATTTCGTAGTTTGTAATTTTTACCAATCATACCAAGTGTTCAAGCATTGCTAACTTTAATGATGATGATTATCATAATAATAATAATAATAATAATAATTTTATTTATATAGCATTTTTCATGCTGGTGGCAGTTCAAATTGCTTTACAAGCAGGTGGTAAAGCTTAACAGTAATACAAGAAATTATAAGTATTAATTTAGAATCATATAATAAAATGACAGATCAAATTAAGATAAATACCACGTAGAGTTTTAATTTAATGCTAAGTTAAAGAGAGACATTTTTTTAGATGCTTCTTAAAAGTGAGCACTGAGCTTGACTGTCTTAATAAAAGGTGGAACTGAGCTCCAGAGTTTAGAACTGAACAAGGCCTCTCCATGTTTTCTGTATTTTACAGAAAGTGTTTGCAGAAGTTCAGTATCTGCAGGTCTAAGATCACGTGTTGGAACATAAACAGACAGACACTCTGTCATTTAGAGCCTTAAAAACTAGTAGCAGAACTTTTAAAATCTATTCTGAACGATACAGGCAGTCAGTGTAGTTCTTTCAAAACAGGAATGATATGATATCCGTTTTGTTTTTGTTAGGATTCTGATGCATTTTGAACGGGTTTTAAAGGATGTATAGTTTTTTTAAGCAAGTCCAGTAAGAAGATCATTACAGTGATCAACTCTGCTTGTAACAAATGCATGAACGAGTTTCTTTAGTGTCTAAAACAGAGCTCAGAGCCTAAGATTACACCCAGGTTTCGTACTTCAGGTTTGGTACATGACGTCAAAGAACCAAGTTTCACATTAAGCATTCTCTGAGTTTTTGTACCAATAATCAGTATATGTTTTTTTTCGTGATTTAATTGTAGACATTTTTGCGACATCCACTGAGCAATATCTGACACACGGCTGGTTAGGCAGCATAGCAATAAAAATGTATATTATGTTTCCTAATGACATCACCTAGAGGTAGCATGTACAAAGAGAAAAGCAAAAGCCCTAAAACTGAACCCTGAGAGTCTCCACAAGAAATGCCAAATCTTCTTGATGAATAATTTCCCATTCAAACCATGAACTGCCTATTACCTAAATATGATTTAAACTATTCTAAAACTGTGCCCAAGAGGCTGACCCAGCATTCAAGATGTTGGATTAAAATCTTGTGGTCAACGGTATCAAAAGCTGCACTAAGATCTAATAAAATCAGAATAAAAGGATTTTGTGCATCAGCGCTGAGCCTGAAGTCATTCACAACGTGTACCAGTGCTGTCTCAGCACTATGGTTACATTCATAAAGGCAATATTGGTGACTTGGGCTCTTGCTAGGCAGGAGCAATGTGGTGTAGCAACAATTTCCCCAAAATTACAGTATTAGTTTGCTTCATTGTAGTGTCTGCATGAATAACACAGGCTTTTGTGTAGAACTTGCTGTTTATTGATTGCCGTTGAATCACTTTTTTTCCTTTAGGCACTTGGAAAATCATTTACAGGTTTATTAATCATTCACTTTTTGTTGCTTTCATAAGAATACGATGTTGCTAAAAATCTAAAAATTGATATTTGTTCTTCCAGGTTACGTTACCAGCAATGACAAAGGGAAATGGAATGAAGAACAACAGGTATCTGTCTCAGTAGAACTGCCTTCAGCAGTGCCACCGGAACCAGTGGACATGGGAAGCACAGTCAATCAACTGCCCCCTGGGTTACAACAAGAGACCGGCATGAAAGGTGCACTAATTATTAGGATTATTTAAGTCTGTTTGTACTTGAAAAGAATGTTATCCATTGAAAATAATTGATTTTAATTATCCTACGCAGAAAGTGATAGTTCAGACTCCTCCAGGCAGCTTGAAGACCTTCGAGAACAGCTAAAGGCTACACTAGAGTTTTGCCTCTCCCGGTAACTTCTTTACACTTTTATATCCAGTGCTGCTTTCATTGCCTGGTCTTGTATGGATTTGTTTGTTTTAGGCTGATTTTCGCTAGTGCAGCTGGCCATGAATTCAAGGCTTTTTCATCTTGCTTTGTTTCAAAAACCTTGGTGATGGAATGAAATGTAACCTTTAGTGGTTTAAACTTTAGATAATGACTTCATGGTGGGAGTATTTGTTATGCACTCTAGTTTATCAAACAGCTGCAACTAAAATAAGACCCCGTAATGTGTTAACAAGAGGACTGTTATTTTTAGCAGTAGAAATGCTTGCTTGGCTAAACCTTAAGTTTTTGTTAACCTAGAGATTTGAATATGTAAACTTAATCATAAAATCATGTGACTTTGTTTGTAAAAGAATTGCGGGAGGGGTACAGTAGGCATGGATGCAGATTTCTGGCTATGGGGGAGGCTCTTTCACAATCCAAAAGTGTTGCTTTAAGCACAAAGGAATATATTGAAGGGTGCTAGACTTCAGCCTCTAAATGCTGTATATCATGATTCTCCCCCTCTTGTTTGTATCAGGGAGAACCTAGCCAACGATATGTACCTCATCTCTCAAATGGACAGTGACCAGTATGTGCCAATTGTGACGGTGGCAAATCTTGATCAGATCAAGAAGCTGAGCACAGATGTGGATCTAATTGCAGATATATTAAAGAGTAAGTAATCACTTATCAATAAAATACTAAATAAGCCCTCAGTTTGCAGAGGTTCACACTGGCTTTTGATGTTTTTAAAATGTTTCCAGCACTTCCTCTTGTACAAGTGGACAAATGTGGTGAGAAAGTACGACCAAACCAGAATAGATGCATCGTTATCCTCCGAGAGGTCCCTGAGGCCACTCCTGTTGAGGTAAAGGTTCTGTTAGTTGGATAGAAAATAATCAGCACACTCAGCACTAGAGGAAAACTAACAAAAATAAATAAATTTATTAATTGCCTTCCTTCTCTGCCCTTTTAGGAAGTTGAATCTCTGTTCAAGAGTGAAAAACTGCCCAAATTTGTCAATTGTGAGTTTGCCTACAATGATAACTGGTTCATCACCTTTCAATCAGAGGCAGATGCACAGCTGGTAAAGTTTTACTTGGCTTTTCTTTTGCTTGATCACTTATATTACAGCCTTGTGACTTTTTGTGTAGTCTTGAGTGCAGCTAATTATTTGGCTTTATTTTTCAGGCGTATCAGTATCTCCGAGAAGAAGTGAAGACTTTTCAAGGAAAGCCGATAAAGGTAAACTCAGCGATGTCATTTAAATTGGTAAGTGTTTTGTTTATTTCGAAAAAGCACTTACACGCCCACTTATGTTACCATCTTTTTGGATTCCAGGCGAGGATAAAGGCCAAGGCCATTGCTGTCAACACTTTTGTGCCAAAGAATGGGTACAGGCCCGTAGATATGTCCCCAAACATCCAGCAGCGATATACCTCTTACTATATCCCGCCTGTGTATGGAACACAGCAACAGTTCCCACCAATCTACAGACTGGTAACGCCTCAAGGCTGGTCAACAACACAGAGCTACTTGGACCCTTTAGTGAGTTCTGTATGAGCACTTAAAATGTGTTTTAAACTCTAAAAAGTCTTTGAACTGTTTTTCTCATCTAAAATGTTTTATTGAATAATTTTAAAAACATTTTCTTACGTCTGATAGGTTACTCCATTCCCTAACCCTGGATTTATCAATGGCTTTGCTGGATCTCCTACTTTTAAATCAGCCGCTGCACCTTTGACTGTCAGACATTACCAACCAAGAAACAGGTGTGTTGCCTTTTGCTTTGTGAGTAAATCTGTCCATCTTTTTTTTTGAAAGGTGCAGCTATGGTTTCAGTGTTTTACGGTAATATTTTCATCCGGATAGGAATCACAGTAAAAGCCACATTCGACCCACGGCACCGACTGCAGAGCGTGGAACAGCTTTATTGGAGAATCCTGGCACTTTCACAAACTTGTCCTCAGAGCGTATCCCCAACGGGACACGCTCGCTACATACACATCAGATGAGCAGCCGGCCTCGACTGCCCAGCGCTCCAAGTTATCCTCGCAGGGACCAGGTTGGCAGTGGACGGATGGAGATGAACGGGGCCGATTACTCACCTGTCATTGGCAGAGGAAGGTAAGGCGCCAAAGTTGGTATTATTGGAACTAATGAAAGTGTTATAGGCTTTGTGATCCTAAATACCAAAACATTCAAACATCAAATAAGATTAGTTCAAAATCACGTCAAAATTTGCCATGTTTAATTTGATCTGGTGGTGTTGAAGTAAATGGTATAGTCTTTAGAGACATATATGATTTCAGTATTCTTGTGATTTAATTATTGTAGAGTTGGCAGAATTTGTGTCTAGTGAACTATATTTAGTTTATACATAGTAGAGGTGGGCGATATGGCAAAAAATGATGTTACTTCAAGAGCTTTTCTCAATACACGGTGTCACAATGCACATTTTGACGAGGTGGAAAAGACAAAGTAGGGCCGCATTTTAAAAAATACTAGCAAAAGCTAAGCAAAAAAATCTGTGTTTACCATTTTTGCTCACTGTGCTGTGCTAAATTCAATTAAGCAATTGATTAACAAAAAATAAAATTAATTATGCTCTTTTTATAATTATACATGCAGCTGGGAAGTGTTTTTAATTACTGACTATATCCACAACATGCTCAGAAAAGCATATTGTGACATAAATTACATCACATTATCATGATTATAGTATTGTCATATTGCCCAGCTCTAAAATGTAGTAGAATGAGAATGTTTAGTCATTTTGTTAGTCATAAGCTACATAGCGCAAAATTTCCTGTCAGTTTATATGAGGAGGGAGCTTTACGCATTCTAGCTAAGGTATATGAAAGTCCACTCAGCCATGGTCAATTATTGATGGGCTGTGGAACGGGATTAAAAATGCCTAGATAAGAGGAAAGTTGACACATGTTATCTAACGATTCCGAAAACTTTTCTCTTACCCTTTACCTTTTTTTTAAGGAGAAATGGCTATGGCTACAAGAAAAGGAGAGATGACAAGTTTACAGTGAGTAATCTGTCTTCCAATAGAAGACGTTTTAATGTCAGCCAGTCAACAAAATAAGCATAGGTACAGTCTCTGTTCTTTCTGTGTTTCACAGAGAGCCTCCACGCAGTCACCCCCTCCAGCCCAAGAGCGTGCCCCTTCTCCAAGCTTTGAGTTGGGTCTGTCTAGCTTCCCTCCTCTGCCTGGAGCTGCTGGCAATTTGAAAACTGAAGTGAAGATGGAAAACAGCTTGGAGAACCGACTGTCTGATATAGTTACCGGTGTAGCTAAAGACAAGGTTATCTTTTACTTTGTCTCTTCTCCATTTCCCTTGGCTTAATAACTGTTTGATAGAGATGATGACCATCTCACAATGCATCCACCAGGGCACAGTATTACAGAAACTTCCTATCTTTTTGTCCTAACTTAGATCTGACAGGTCAAGATAAGATTTTTCACGAATTCGTATTACAGAAGCAAATTTTATCTTGATTTAGGAATCTTACCTTACAGCATCTTATCTCAAGTTAGGAAATCTTAACTTACTCGATCGAAGTCGACAATCAACTGTCGTGTCTTTTACCTAGCAACCCACCATACGCGCACAGCTGAAACGTAAACACGTAATCAAGTTAGTTAATCAGACAGCTAACATTAGCTGCTGTTACTGATGTGAAGGTCAAAAAACTATAAAACTGAAGGTTAAAAATATCGTCAGTGCTTTGTGCTGTTTATCAGAGCGTCGCTGCTCCCAGTTTCAGTCTCCATTTCCCAAATGCTTTAGCTGAGCGCGCTAACGTTATTCCTCCGCAGACACACATTCAGCTCTGTCTCCTCATTATTCACCACCATCGCTGTGAGATTGTATCTGATGTATATGTTTTTATCAAACATTAACAAACAAAGGTAATAAGAGGGGCAGTGGAGAGTCTCTGCAGTGTCTGGGGTTTTAAAACGCTGTTAGAAAAAAGCCTCATAAGTCAAAGCACCGTTTTTAATGTAGATAAATGTAACGTCATTATGCTACTCATAGTGAACTGTGCTGCCGGTCACTGCACAAAACAATAGAAACAGACTGTTCAAACAGAAGTTAGGGCACCTCTGGGATTGTCTTGAAGGACGGTATTTAGGAGATTTCATCTAGTTTCTGTAATACTGTTTTCTTATCTGGAGTTTGGATAAGATTATGAACTTAAATCTGTTGTTCTGTAATAGCTTCTGTCTTAAGTTCAGTCCTAACTAAAGTTGTAGTGGTGACTAAGCAGATAATGTAAGATTTCAGACTTTAGAAGTTTCTGTAATACGGCTCCAGGTTATCAAATGTTCATTTATTAGACTGCATAGCACAACATTTATGTGCAATAAAATGTTCATCCAAAAATACAGAAGTAATTAAGCTGTAGATGCTCTTTCGTTAAATCATAAGTTATCGTTGTGTTATGCTCTGGCTCCTGAATGTTTGATTTTGCCTAATAGTGAAATGGTGTGATGTTTGTGCAACATACACTGGTTATGTTTCAATTTAAAAGACAGATTGTGTTTAGGAGGGTGGCATTTTAATCAGAAAGTTGCAGACTGGGGCTGGCTCAGGCTAATGATAGCCCACTGTAGAACAATATTTCTGAATGAAGAACAAGCAGAAGCAGCTCCAAACAAAACAAATAACCCACTCTTGGCCAAAAAAGTGATTTCCCTGGACTGCTCAGTGCTGTAATTTCATGCTCATTTGCTGCTGAAATCATTCTGTGACAATAAGGCTAAAAAACATGCACATGTGTTTGTAGCATATGGGTCACTATGCCAAACAAGGATTTCAAGAATGAATTTAGTAATGCATGAGGTCTGTTTTGTAGTGTAAACACGCAAATGAATGAATTTCAAGCCATTCCTTCTACACCGAAAGCCACCCTAACGTGCAGGTCTTCCAGAGAGTCGGATGATTTTGGGATTAGCGGTGTCATTGTTGACATTGAAAGCCCCTTAAAGGTTTACAGGTCACAGTTAGTCTTAGATTGAAGCTGTAACATGGCCTTTATGGGATAACAAGCGTTTTGTGGCAGCTTTTGCTGTCAGTCTCTACCATGACTACTTCTTGTGTGTTGCTGTTTGTACTTCAGTAGGGGTGTGTTACTGTCTGATTTCTCTAACTCTCCAGCTGTTGGGTATGCTCATGCACTCGCCGCCACAGGAATTTCACAGAAGTCCTTTTGTCTCTTGTCAGACCCTAAATAAGGATGCAGTTACCGGCAGTGTGACTTCAGGAATCCCCAAAGAATCGGCGCAGACTGTTATTGCTCCCACTGCTCAGCCTCCAGTGGAGCAGCAAACCCCATCCTCTCCAGTCCACAAGAGATGGTATGTCAATAACAGAAGCTGAAGTTTTGAGGTTGTATGTAAATGGGATTTAAAAGGGAGCTAGCATGCTACTGTAGTTAACAAGTTTTGGCATAGTGGTTGCTTAACACCTTAATTTTGTTTGAAGGAAAATAGCAAAAATGTTTTTGATTTTTTATTCTTTTTTTAAATGCTTTGTTTTGTCTTATTGGCATCGCGTGGCTTCGGAGCTGCATGTGGCTCTTTTACTGCCCGGTTGCGGCTACCCAGCATATTTCGATTTATAGGTAAAAATAAAATAATCCTCCTTTGCAGTAAAATAAAGCTCTGCTGGTCGTTCAACACAGTTTTAACAATAAATGGTCTCAAACACGAGTAAATGTAGAACTGCTAGTTCAACCTTTAACCCTGGAGGTTGGTGCGCAGACTGCTGGTCACCATAGCAATGCGGATCAGTCTTGCTTAGCTAGTAGCTAACAAACCGGCAAAGAGAGAGATTTAAGATGAACATTGATCATTTGGAGACGAATGGACTACATTTATAATCACTCCAGCTGGTTTCCTGATACGTTTAATCTGCAACGAGAAACTGTCAAACACTAAAAAGTTGCGAAGCTGAAGTCAGCTTCTCATTCAGATTTTCACGTTCCACCTTAAATGGTGCAGCAGTTAGCTGCATAGTTAGCTACATTTTGGCACCTCAGGCACCGTTTAAGGTGAAACAGGTAAATTTGAACAAGAAGCTGACTTAAGCCTTGTAAAAAGTTGAACGTAAAGAGACATTTTACAAGAAACTATTTTGCTTTTGAGGAAATGTTTCCTGCAGAAGAAGCGAGAAAAGCGGCTATAGCTGAGTTAAATCTTAAGTAAGTCTTCGTTTTCATTTATATTATATTTTTAGCCTGTACTAGGACATGAGACACATTTACAGCCAAGATGGTGAAACGTTACTTTAATAAAATGAACACTAAATGTTTTGGCTTTCAAGGTGGTTGGATTTTTGTGGAAACATTTGGGTTGCTGACCCCTGGATTAGAGTGAAGTACCGTTCCTCGTATGTAAAAAAATTTCAAATTTGTTTCAGAGAAGCACAGCTGGGTGACGGGGTTGAATCCCAATGATGCCACAGCTGCCTGTAGCCAGTAGTCCAAGAGAGCACCATTATATCCTCCCTCCTGTCCACGTACACTGTTGCTGGACAGTTGTGCTCGTCTGGTTCACACTAAATTAGGTATTCAGTGCTCTTCTCTGAGCACATGGACCTTCCCCTTGATGTGAACAGCAGTTTAAAAAAATATGCATTTGCTAGCTAATGTCTCAGAGAAAGCATGTGCTTGCTTTTGCACATCCAGATTAGTTGGTGCCCTGTGATGGGGAGATTGTCAGCAGGTGGGAATTGCCAGCAACTAACAATGGGGAGGTGACTGGGCAAAACTGATGCAACTGTGATGATTCAGGCCTAATGTGCGTCAGAGGTTTTGGAAGCTATTGGCTTTCTCTTGTTTGTGAGCTGTGTATCACTGACTGAAAACACTGCATCACTGATGCAAACCTCAAATAATGTCCTAGTTGAAGCTCTCTTAGGCCAAATTATAGTACCATTCTATTTGCATAATTAATAAATCATTTAAAGGTTTAGATGTAAACAAAATCATTCAGAGCAGTTTGGTGTGAAATGCGCCTTTCTAGAGAGTCAGAATTTTTCACCATTGTAGTACTAGGAACCAGACATCCGTATGTCTATATTACAAATATCACCGTCCAGAATGACCAGTGAACTTAAGTGTGACTAAGTTTTTATATACCACGCTGGTGATGGTGAAATACTGTGAAACTTAAAAAATACGTTTTCTTTGGGTACTATTTTTCCTTACAACACTGCATGTATCTGTCCGCCTTTTGGGGAACGGTCTGACTGCAGAGCCGCAAATTTACACACCCTCAGTTTCACTACAGCAGAAACTGGAATCAAAGTAAGAAACGTTTGTGAGTGAAATAAATTTGTCGTCATCAGCCACCGTGTATATATCACTGTTAGCCGTTAGCTTAGAACAGTCTGTCTAACTTGGGCCATGGGGAAAAATCTCGCTATCCTACCTCATAAACTGGTAAGCGGAATAGCAAGTAGTTTGGCTCGCTCTTGCTCTCTCTCGCTCTCGCTCTCTCTCGCTCTCGCGCTCTCTCTCTCTCTCTCTCTCTCTCTCTCTCTCTCTCTCTCTCTCTCTCTCTCGCTCCGTCCCTTCCTCTCACTCGCTCTCTCTCCTTTAAACCAACTCAATTCAAATTGATTTGGCTCTATGACATTTTGGAAACAGACCTCCTCGAAGTCCTCTACATACTTTGCAATCTTCCAAAATAGGTAAGAAAACAGTAAAAAATAAACTGTAAACAAAAACAGAACAGAAGCACGTTAGGTTCTGCGCATTGATCTCAGTTGAGATGCGGTTTTGAGAGGAAACACAGAAGTGATCCTGGAGTAAAACTTTTTACTAAAAATACATTTTAGGCCAAAACTTCATAACAAAACTGTCACCAAACAATGTCTCAGGTATCAAGCCATGCATTTATAACCATTTTGTGTAATAACTTAACGGCGCGTAGCTTTTAGAGCCATTAAACGCGTCGGATGTCTGGTTCTTAGTACTGTTATGGTGAACAATTTTGACGATACATTTCTCTGGAAAAGTGCATTTCACACCAAACCACTCAATGATTTTGTTCACATCTAAACCATTGAATGATTAAGTAATTGTACAAAATCGGTGGAGTTACCCTTTAAGAACAAGCCTGAGCCTAGATTATACTTTTATATTGACCACCAGGACTGTCTACCAGTGTTTTAAAACATCGGCTTCAGCACAAACTCAGCTTTTCAGTGATAAGTTAGTGAATGCAAATATTAAATGTTAGACAAAAATAGTATACGAAGGCATAAAAATGCACATTTTCTGAAAGAAAAGAAAAAATACACTACAAAACAGTTTGAATGAATAAACTAAATAGTGAACCTGTTTATGAACTTGAAGGTCACTTGATGCCTCTACTGGGTAGATGTACAGATCTGTGATGTTTTTCTCAGCGTTGTTCAGCGTTTTCTGTTGATGCTCATACTGATGTGTATTGCTGTGGCTGTACAGAGCCACACCACACTGACAAGTGTTTCCAGCCTCCGCGTCGTTGCCCTGACTCTGTTGGCAGTCATGTTTTAAAAAGCATGGCGTGGGAGGGTCTCTAATGCTCAATCTCCGCTTTGATTTGATCTGGTGAATAGTGTATTTTTTCTGATTGGCTACCAAACGATGACAAAACAAAACATGAAGAAAAAAATGGCCAATGATCTTTGATACACTGATCTAATGGATAGGTAATACAGATGATCCTGCAGATGTAGATCCGTCCTGGGGTTTCATAGAGAAATACAACACAGTACACACATGGCAAACTGCTTCTCTAAGGTGGAACGTGAAGTTTGACGTCTCAGACGGTTCTAAAGTTATTTAGGTTTACACAGAATGTTTCTAAATGCATTACTGGCTTTGTTAGTAAATCAGGGTTTAAAATGACTTTTGCATGTTGGTTGCTGTCTTTATGTTGATGCTTTGTGTGTCATGTTTGAAACTGTAGTTCAGTGAAGATACATGAGGAGAAATCCAAGGAGGTGACTGCACCTGCTGAGAGGCCTTCAGTTCCACATGCTGCTAAAAGTCCCCCAGTCCAACTCAACAATCCAGTAATGGTGAGTACACAAGCCCTTCATACTGCCACATACAGTGGTGCTTTAAAGTTTGAGACCTCTTTAGAATTTTCTGCATAAATTTGACCTAAAACTTCATCAGATTTTCACAGAAGTCCTCATAGCAGATGAAGAGAACCAAATTAAACAAATGAGACAAAAAATATTAGACTTGGTCATTTATTTATTGAGGAGAATGACCCAAGTATGTGAACCTTTGCAACTAAACGTTTCCGGTAACTGTTGATTAGTCCTGCATGTCGGCTTGGTGGAATTTTAGCCCATTCCTCCATACAAAACAGCTTCAGCTCTTATGTTGGTGGGTTTCCTCCCATGAATTGCTTGCTTCAGGTCCACTGTACTGCAGGACCAAGGAGCATTGAGATTTAGTTTAAAGTGATGCAGTCATAAACTGATACGTCTTAAAAACAGGTAACTTGTGTTTTCTTGTAGTAGCTGACTGACTGGCTGGGAAGGACATCAGTATAATCATAATTCTATTTACAACGTATGATTTTATTTGGGAAGCATGCGGGGCACTCAAAAATAACTAATGTAATTTCCCAGGAGCCCCGAAAGCCAAGCTATGCAGAGATCTGCCAGAGGATAAGAGAAGCACCGACGCAGCAGCCTCCAGTTGAGCCCAAGCCTACCGGTTCCTCTGCAGAAGACACCAACTCTCTTGACTCTGTAGAGCACAGATCCAGAGAAACACGGCTCCCGTCAGCCAAAGCGGCGCCGCCTCGCGCCCGAGACGCCTGGAAGTCTCATCAGGGTACCGGAGAGACATCGGCTTCCTCATCTCAATCCTGAGAGCTCGGCAGGGACTTGCTGCTTGGACTGAGGAATAAAGGCTCCGTGGGTCAGGGCTGCTTATAGCTCCCGTTCTCAGCCCTACTGTAAATGCACATATTGACAGCTGTCACTGGAATCAGGGCCTGCAGATGAAAAGCACTTGTGGGTGCATAAGGGTTCTCTGATGTACTTTTTCTTATTTTGTTCTTTTTGTCTAGTCCTTTAATTTTTTTTTTTTTTGAAGGACAACCGGCCCTGTTGCGGAAAGGTTTTTTTGTTGGTTTTGTTTGAATTAGCTTTTTTGCCAGAGCTCAAGTCTTTTTTGTTGTTAACATAGTGCTGGTAGTAGGAAATACTGACTTTTTGAAGTAGTGCTGATCTCGAACCCTTTTTGTTTTTCCAATTTTTTTAATCAACATGTATATAATTTTCTAACCACCAGGCACTGACAGCACTGGGTCTGATTCTGTTGGGCTTTTCTACAGTAGGCTGACCAGTCGTAGCTGTTACACCTACACAATTCAAAAAGTCCATTTTGTGTTCAGTTTTTATGTATTAATGCATCGGCACTGGAGTAGTTTTGAGCTCTGACTTTCATTTTAAAACCAGCACATGATAATCCTTTTAATTCAATTGTACTGATATGGCAAAGTAGCTGGTGTAACTATTATCTTGTCTTGTGTGCATGCCTTTTTATGTATTTGATTTTTTTTCCTTTTCATTTTTTCCTTCGTTTTCTTTCCTTTTTCCCTTCTTTTCTTTTAACCTCTTCTTTTAATGGATTCCCCCCAGGCCCACATTGCTTGACAAAAAAATCTGAGCCCGTGTGTGTAAAACATCGTAGGACTTTCCCACGTCCACATCATCATATTCGTTAAGATCCAAAAAGCAAAAAAACTGGTTCCAGTTCAGCACTCGCATCGAGACATTTGATAGATATGATGATGCACATCATCGGATCAATTTCTGGAAGAACTGCACACTGATTAGTCCTCAGGGTGTGAGGGTGGGGGTGTGATAATGTGCCTAGTTTGCGTTTGTCTAATACAGTAAAGCTTCGTAATCGGCTTCTCAGAGTTGTTCTATGCTAGCGTGGTGCTATGGTTTGTCACTTGGTTAATTTGGTGCTGTTCTATAATCTCAGTAGGAGGAGGGATCGAGGGAGAACGTCTATCCTGTCACCTGGATTTTGCATATCATCAGATTTGCTGCCGTGGATTTGAAGGTGTGCGTATATAACCTACTTTCATTGAGATGTGCCTCCCGCACTCATGGACCAGTGGCGTGTTTGGTGTCTCTTTCTGAAGCCCCCCCACCCCGGTTAGTTGGTCACTTGTTCGGTTCACTCTTAAATCATTTCTTTGTTTGTTTGTTTTTATTTTTGTTTTTGTTTTTGTTTTTTTTGGCAGAGCAAGTCCTAGTCGTTTCTTTGTGTCTTCCTGCAGTGTGGAGAGCATTATAGAATGATTCAAGGTCATTATGTGTCGCAGATGTCTGTTGTGTGTCCAGTATTTCCAGTATGTCCCCCATATGTGTTGGTTTTTTTTTTTTATGGTTTGCCCCCCTCTTTCCTACATTTTGACACTCGGAATGCAAGTTTAACATTTTCGTCCATTACGCATAACAGAGTAATGAAGGTTTGATTGCGGAAAAAGTTTTAAGGTGTACAAAAACTTACAAATTAACAGCGTTTGAAAACTTGAATTTTATTTAAACTTGAAAAGTGTCTCTGCCTTAACTTTTTAGAAGAGAGATTGGAGTTTTGTTTCAGTTCCCAAAAGGGTAGACAAAAAATGGGTGGTGTGGTGGGGATGTTCTCACAGCCTTGGTCACTGCATTTGTGTAGCACAATACTGTCGGGGTTGAAATGGGATTTTGTTTTCTGTCTCTCTCTTTTTTTGTTCTTTTTTTCTTTTTCTTTTGTACATGCTTATGGTCAGAACTGTAATGTGTGCACTTGGAAATGTGTGCTTTCACTGTACAGATGTAAATAATTGGAAAACATTTAAAAAAAAAAAAGGTACCCTTAAATTGGTTAAGAGCAAGGTGTATTAAAATAAATGTCAATGAGAAATTGGATGCCCATTAAGTATTGATGTTTTGTCAAGTTGCTGTGTTCTGCAGAATCTGTCATGGAGCATTTCATCAGTTTGCCGTGACGTCTCTGGTGTGAAGTTATCACCACAAGGTGGCGTATCTTGAGCATCATTTTCTTGTGGAGAGCTGAGACTGCAAAAATAAAGGTCCATGACTCATAACAGCTTGAATGAGAGTTGATAGAATACTAATATTGCCTGATAAGTGTTTTATTTCTCTCTGCTTTTATTTTACATCTTTAATAATGTCTAAATCCATCTTTCATAGAGAGAGCCTGATACTGCTGTTTGAGTGCTAATATGTAAGAACACTGTATAAAATATTAGTTTATCTCTACTTCTAATATTTGAGTTTGTCTAACTTCTATAATCTTATGATTTGCTGTTTGTCCAGGCAATATTGTTTTCTAGGAGTCAAGGCGAATGCACACGAGTAGAAAATATAGTCTTGATTTTATTAAAGGGGAACTCCACCAATTTTCTGCATAATTAAATGGTTAACATGTCAACAAGGTCATTCAGAGTGGTTTGGTGTAAAATGCTCCGTTCTAGAGAAACTTAAGAGTCAGAATTGTTCACAGTGGAGGTGATAGGAACCAGACGTCCACCTCTAAAAGCTCCCTCACAGAAAGTTAATGCATGAAGTGGATATGAATACTCAGCGTGATGCCTGAGACGTTGCTTTACATGCGCTTTGTAATAAAGTTTTGGTCTAAAGCGTATTTGGAGGGATACAAGAAGCGTGTTCTAAGGCAAAATAGTAAAGAAAACTTTATTTTCTCAGCTTGACCACTATTTTACCATCATCAGCAGTGGTTTTGGATCGTAAATAAAATGGCTATATTTGTGTTGTAGACATGGTGAGCCTTGGTTCCTATCACCACCACTGTAAAGAAATCGGAGTCTAAGTTTCTTTACAAATGAACTATTTAACATCAAACCACTCTGAATGACTTTGCACCCCAGCCACTGAATTATGCAGAAATTTTGAAAAATCGGTGGAACTCCCCTTTAAAGCTAGGTGTAGTTCGTGTTCTGAAAATGCTCCTCTAACCTCAAAAAGACTGAAATATAGCAAAAATTGGCTATTGTTGTAATTGTCCCTGTTTAGGCTGTGTATTACTTTGTTTATTAGCGAATTTCAGTATTTAGTGATGTGCATTCTGTTTATTTACTGCTGTCGTTTTTCCACCGGCTCAGTGTGAAACTCCAGGTTCTTTGTCCACATTACTGTACTGATAATAGCTGTATTACTGAATGTAGCCTACCTGAGTTTATTAGACTTCACACTTAAGACTATGATAGTTTCCAATACTGAAATGGTGACACCTAAAGCTGTGCTGCTGTTTTTAAAGGCATTTTGTTTACACCAACATCATGTTGAACACGTGTGTCAGATTAGATACCATTAGAGGAACATCCTTATCTGTTCATGATCCAGTACGGGAGGGATATCATCAAAGCAGTTTGAACCTGCCTGTTTCTGAACGTCCAACAGCAAAAAGTTACAAGTGTCTAATAACTACTGCAACTACCATGCTGGTCTAAGCTGGTTTATGCTGGTCTCGTGCTGGTTGGTTACAGGTTTTTTTTTTTAGTTAAACTCTTTTACGGCTACAGCGTGTAGAAACACGTTTATGCCAACAGACTACAGAAAGTGCTGAAATTTGTCATTTTGTTTTTCAGTTAAATGAATTTGCCATCAGTGTCAGTGGGAATGCAAGTACCATGCTGGTCTAGTGCTGGTTTAGCTAGTCACCCAGCATGACCATACTGGATGACCAGCATACCAGCATTCAAAACACAACATACTGGTTTTGCTCGTGCCCAGCATATTAACTTCCATTGCTGTTGACCAGCAAAACCAGCATCCAAGACACAACATATTCTGGTTTTGTTGGTGACCAGCTCTGCTGATCAACGCTGTTTTTTTCTAGCAGGTCCATATTTTAAACCCAAGTTCTCCACAATACTGTACTGCTAATAGCTGCATTACTGAATGTAGCCTACTTATTTGTAGACTTCTCACTTGAGACTGATAGTGTATTTATTAACACTGAAATGGTAACGCTAATGATAATGCGTTTTATTTACACTAACATCATGTACATGTGTCAGATTAGATGCCATAAGACAGGGGTGTCAAATGCAACCACTAAAAGGGCCATATTAAAAAATCTCAAAAATACAGCTGGCCCACGGATTTGGGTTTCATTTTTACTTAACACTTTGCCGTGATCCAAACGGGCCATTGTTTATTCAGAACATGCCGAAACTGCAGCAGCAAAATAGGCATTAAATACTTATTCAAAAATAATTGTAAATAAAAATATATATGTATACTTTTATTTTATGTCTTTTCTTTTTGTGTAACCGCTGGCCCATAGGTTGTTGTTGGTGCAAGGGGATCAGAACGCACAATATGTTGCAGTGCATGCTGGGGACTGTAGTGCATCTCAGGGTGAAACGGGCTACTAAGAATAGAAAATTAAAATAATTTCGCGGGCTGAATAGAACTGTGTCACGGGCCTGACTTGGCCCGCAGGACACATGAGCCATGGGAGAAACGTTCTTATCTGCTCATGATCCAGAATGTGAGGAATATCATCAAAGCAGTTTGGACTTGCATGTTTCTGAATGTCCAACAGCAAAAAGTTACAACTAGCTAATAAAGGTACAGTGGAGTATGGGACTGAAAAACAAAGCAAGTGGAGAAGATCCTTCCTGATGTCTTTTAACTCAAAGGCCACTGATGAAGGTTCTGCTCACTCTGGGTTTGAAAAAGTAGTGTAATAAATGTGTTCAGTGACACTTTTCTATCACAATACGTAAAGTAGAATACATTTAGAATACATTTTGACATGGCAGATGGACTTGTGATTTTTATTTAGGCTCTTACTGGTTGGCAGTTTTGTTCATGTAATTCTTCTGTTAATATGTGTAATGAAAAATTCACTTATTTAAATGAAGCTACAAAATTCTCACCATGTATTTAGTTCAGTGAGATTAATAACTGATCACATTAATTTATCAGTCTACTCAGGCTTTAGCAGAGCTCAGTAACAGATTAATAACTGATCATATTGATTTATCAGTCTACTCAGGCTTTAGCAGAGCTCAGTAACACAGATTAATAACTGATCATCACATTGATTTATCAGTCTACTCAGGCTTTAGCAGAGCTCAG